GCTCTGCACCTCACCACTATCCATCTCGAGAACTTTCTTCATATTCCCAAACTGAAATTCTCTGCCCATGAAATAATGACTCCTATTTCCCCCTCTCCCTAGTCCCTGCTGACTACTTCCCTGTTCCCTATTCCTCAGACCTGTGGGTGTGTAGTCACAACAATCAGGAGGAAAGAAGGTCCCACGACCCCCCAAAACCTCCCTTATTACCACAACATCCCCTGCCCCCTCGAGACCACTAACCTGTTCTTCAGGACTCTAGGTTTATCATTTCACAAATGTCATAATGTATGTGACCTTTTAATACTGACTTCCCATACACACATGATGCCTTTGCAGTTCATCCTCTTTATTCCTGTTCACTGCTTCCTGGCTCCCCTCTCCAGTTTTTCTCCCTTCCCTCTCCCTCCAAAGGTAACCACAGTTCTTAAATCAGGGTGCTTGATTCTCATAAATATTTTTCTAATGTCAGGGTATATAGGTATTTAGCCAAAAAATAATATATACTTTTTGTTTCTTATAGCTTAACATTTAAATAAATGGTATGATAACATCCTTGCAAGTTGTTTTTATATAACTCACCACTGTTTATTCTGAGGGTTCTCAATGTTGATGCCTGGTTATTAATTTTCACTGTTGTATAATATTCTGTTGTGTGACCGGATCATTTGTGTATGGACTTGTGCACTTCCAAATGGGTGGATATTTTTTCCTGTCTGTCTCTCTGTTTCTTTTTTCTACCCTGACTGGCAGCATTAGTCTCCTTCATCAGGACCCCCAAGTCCAGAGCAGACCTACCAATGGTTAGACAGGTCCATGACTGGTCTTGTGGCTGAGGTCATAAGGGGGAAATGATAGTTCTCATCTCTGTGACAGCTGCATGCTGGCTGGATGCCTGGAAGGAGTTTGTGTCTGAACACCCTGACCCCAACTTAGGCCCAAAGTTTCAGTGGCTTCTCAATGTTGGATGTGTATTGGAATCTCAGGGGAGAATTTTTATAAGAGGGAGAAAGAGAATTTAGAAACTAAACCAGAATTTCCAGGCAATGATATATTTTGAAAAAATCCCAGGTTTTTATAAGATGCAGCCAGGGCACAAAACCCTGAATTTAAAAACAAACGAAAAAAAACCCCAAAATTCCAGATAGCTCTCTCCAGTCTCCTTTCACAGTCAGGGAATCTCTAGCCCCCATTCATAGCAGTGAGCATCACTGTGAAACCCCCACCCCCACCCGAACTTCTCTTCTGTTAGTCCCCATGGCCTTCCTGGAATCAAACACCTCTTTTGATTCCAGAGCTCATGGCCTCAATCCTGTTTCCCAGTCCATAATTGCCTCTGCTTCTGGTGCACAGCATTTTTGCCTAGTTTCTGAGTCTTGTTGTGGTTTATAAATTTCCTCTAAAAAAAAAAAAAATTTCCTCTGTTTGTATTTTATGTAACTTTTCTATATGTTGGAGCAAAGATGTTGCCTCAGAGCATGAACTTCTAGAAATGGTTTCTATCCAGACTCCTGAAAGCTCACTTCTCCTGATGAAGGGTTACTCTTGTGACTTCAAAGGAGCATGCTGCCACCTTACAAATAGCTGATAAATATTTTCACTTTTTTTAAAAGCAAAAATGTATTGCTTTTTCTCTTTGCAAAAGTCAATCATGTTTGTGTGAAAAGTTCAAATGCTGTGGAAATGTGTGACCCAGAAAGGCTGTAATGATTCCCCTGCAGATGATTACTGCAAATTATTTTTGAGTATATCTTTCCATGATTTTACAATGCACATATAAATTTAAAAAAAAATAGAATTGTATTGGTGAACTGGAGGGCTAATTAATGTTTATTCTCAGTGTAATATTTTACATTTTCTGTATCTAGAGACCTGCTTCATTATTTTTAATGGTCGCTGGGACCCTTGTCTGGCTGGGCTGCATTTCATCTGGTGATGGCCGTTTGGGATGTTTCCGTTTTGAGCTTCAGAGACAGTTTCTGAAATAACCCTCTCACATATCTGCCTTTTGGCATTTGTATGAGGTCAAAAACCCACATTTCCTATTGAGGCCCTGAGTGTGTTCCTGCTGGGAAGGAAGAACAGCCTGGGGTGTGGCGGTTGGTTGGTGGCCCCCCACTTCCCCACCCCCAGCAGGAAGCAGCGGGTAGGGTGTGCTGGCTTGAGAGCCCCAGCCTTATTAGCACCAATTTCCTGAGTCTGTAAACTCCCAATTCTGTGCACACTGGGACAGATTCCCTGAGTTCGGCCTTCTTTCTAACCTCCCAGCTAATACCAGGCCCTGGAAAGGCTTAGTGCTTGTGTTCTTCAAACTGCAAGGCTGTGAGTGGGTCATGACATAAAGTCAAAGATGAGCAATTTTAAAAAACCAAACAGAATAGAATTGTATAGAAAATACCTGAGTACATCACAGGATGTGAGTAATGTTTCTACAAGTTTTATTTGTGTGTGTGTGTGTGTGTGTAGTAGTAGTAGTAGTAGTAGTGTTATAGGACAGGGAGAGGGGCAGCCCAAGCCCCGCAAACCTGCCTATTCTAAATGGGTTCTGCCATCCGCCGCATCAACACAAAACACATGAGACTTTAATGGGAAGGAACTTTAATAAAACTAGGAAACAATACAGGTAAGGCAAAGAGTCTAGTTTCTAAATGAAGCACCCAAAGTTACCCATCCCCTCGTGGGTAAAAGTCCATCCATATGGGATCGGCCCAGAACAAGGCCCCAAAGTCTACCACAAGTCTAAAACATCTTCCAGTGGGGACCCACAGAAAAGGGTCACAAACAACTGGACAAGCCCGGAAGGAAAAGAGCAAAATCAACATCAAGATAAAAACTGCCATTGTCACCTCCCCACGGGTCTCACCCACATCTGTGTCACCCAGTCCACGACCAAAAGACAAGCAGTTTCTTTACGTGTCTCTAGGCTCCATGCGCCTCCTCCAGGTCTCCTTCTGGCTCCATCCTGCTTCCTTCCTCAGTCTCTTCTGCAGCTTCTCCTCTTCCTGCTCAGCTCCACCCTCCCTTGGGTGGGGCAGGGAACCTGGAACTTCCCCCTTTCCTGGGGACCACCCTGTTACAGTAGTAGTAGTAGAAGTAGTAGTAGTCATAGTAGTAGTATCTTAAGTCAGGTTCCCTAGAAACAGAACTCAAGGAGAGGATTTGGGTGTATGTGATCTCTCCAGGGAGTGCTCTCAGAAAAGGGGGAGTAAAGGAAGCTGATTTGTGGGATCTAGAGGGGAGCTGAGCAAATGTATGCTCTTCAGCCTGAGCCCAAAGAGAGTGCAGCAGCTTACATTGCCTGAGACAAGGACAAGACAACCCTAGTCCAACTCCTAGGGAGTTTGGAGATAAGAGCTAGGAACCCAGCTCTTGAATGCTTAAGTCAATTGTCAGTCATCGGTTGGTCATCAACTGCTTTGAGGAAGGGGTGGTTGCATAATCTTTTGGAAAGGGGGCTCCTGCTTAGCCAAGGGCAATTCTCCAGCACTGGAGGCAGCTGTGCTCTTTAGCAGAGAACGCTCAGCAAGCAGCTGGGGGTCAGGGGTGCTGGCCTGCATGAGGTTTTCAACAGGGTCTATTATGGGACTTGCTAGAAAATAGACTTCTTAGTGTTGGTTACAGTCAAAAAAACGTTGGAGGAACACTAGTTGGAAAGAATTTAGTCCATAATCAACCTATGGGAAAGAAAATGAGGCCATCACCACCTCTTCCTCATTTCATCAGGCAAAGGTAAATTGCCACATACAATAGGAATTTTATCCCCAACTGAGCATCAACACAGAAGGGAGAGGAATGAGAAGGATGTTCTTCAAGCTTCAAGCTTAAACTTTAAGCCTCCAGCAGCCATCTCAGGAGGCCTAGATCTGTCTCTGGCTGGGAACGTCCCACCTTGGGGGGCTGGGTGGGCTTGTGGCAAGGCGGGGAGGTGGAGCCTTTGGAGAACCTTGAAATCATGTCATAAACATGACACTGGTAAAAAAACATTTTACCAGTTAAATGTTTTAAAACTTTTCATGGCTCTAGATGGAATATGGAACAAAATATAAAATTCACATGAGCTTTCAAGATGAAGACTAAAGTTACAGAGATTTCAGAACATGGATTGTGACTTTGGAACATGCTCCCAGACTCCCAGAGGCTCTTGTTCATTGCCTCTGAGGCACAGAGCAGATGATGTAAAGAAGTAGAGTAACCATTCTTCCCCTTTCAGGGAGGTTCAATTATATGGCAAGTTGGGCCCTGAGTCCTCCAGAATCTAAGCAGTTTGCCGGGAAATGATATTCATTCAACCTATGGTCTTGGTCACCAATCCTACTCTGCCAGGATCACTCAGTCAGTCAACAAATTTTTTTTGGCACCAACTAGTGCCAGCATTAGGGATAAGTAGTTTTATAAGACAGCTCATCCTTCCCCTTTGGGTCATTCTGATCAGGGGAGACAGACAAAACGAAATCAATATTGCAGTAGTCAGGAGGCCCCTTGTGCCTGCTGGGAGCTGGGAGGAGTTCTGACTGGTGAGTCATGACTGAAAGTGCTGTGGGTCCCTCTGCACCAAGCAGTTAATGGGATGCTCCCTGGAGATTTCCCTCCTCTGGAGCACTGCCAGTGGGGGCTCCACTTAGTGGCTCCTCCATCAGCCTGGACCCTGAGCTCAGCCAACCCACACTGAACTGTAGAAATTATGGTTTTTACTGAGTGAGGTAGGAGACCCTCATTGTTTTAAACTGTAGTGGTTTCGGATTTTCATTGCTATACCATCATTTAGATTATCCTGCTAAAAAACAATAAAATATTGTGTTATCAATTGTGGTCATTGCTGTGAAGAAAAAGAGCAAGTTGCTAATTGAACATGACAGTGGCCAGGAAGTGCTTCTGTGAAGGTGTGAAATCTAAGCTGGGATCTAATAGAAGAGGTAGTGTCCATTTCCGTCATTGTTTTGCTGATAGTAGCAAAGTAGTTCCGGAATGTTAGAATCAGAATGGGCAGAAAAGTGGGGGTGTCGACTTGCCTAAGGCCCATAGCACCTTGGAGGCAGGGCAGATGCTATAGCTTCAACATGTTGGCTGGGCCAGGCTCTCAGCAGAAGGGCTGTGACCAAGGTGAGGTGAGCCAGGGTTCGGCTACACGCAGCCCTCTGGGATCTGCCCTACCCTGGCCGGCCCCTGAGAGTGAGTGCCTCCCTAAAGGTTGGTTTGCTCTGAGGAGGTGTTTTATTCTTGGGCTCATGCAAGTACAGAGTTGGCACCCTATGTGGCACTAGAAGGACCTAGCTCACTCTTGTCCAGATCTGCCCTACCCCACTGTTCTCAGTCACAACAGATTACAAGCACATAGCATCAGGGTGACTGTGGCTGCATTCTTGGCATTTGGGTGTGTCTGCTGATCTAATCTGAAATAGCACTGCTCTCCTGGGGACCACGTGACAGAGAGCCCAGCACTGCACACTGGGAAAAGACAGTTTTCAGGCTGCCCCCAAACAGGCTTCTCTCCAGAGATTTTGGTGGGTAATCAAGAAAGAAGACCAGGGAGTGAGAATTCAGGAGTTTTACAGGGGCTGGGGTTGATTGTGGCCCATCTTTCCTTTCAGCTGAGAAAGAGTCTTTCTTTCACTCTGAAAAGGATAGTCTCTGCAGAGAAGGAATTTAATGAAAATGCATGCTCAGTTAAGTGTCAAGGACCAACAGCACACAGTCTTCCCCCTGAAGCAGGTTTGGGGGAGGAAAATAGATGAGAAAAACTCCAGCCCCTCTCTGCAGAGCTCTCACTGGCCACCCACATTATGAGTAGGTTTGACTATCCCCGGGTGACAGAGAAAGGGACCAGCTCTCAGAGATTAAGTAACTTGCGCAATTGAACACAAGTCTTTCTAATTTGTACCCCGTTGAGAACAAGGGGTAACAGAGTGTGTGCCCAGAAGTGCTAACCCGTAGGAGAGGACAAACAATAGACAAAGAGCAGAAAATAGACAAAGCCACCTACTTTCTTTAAAAGGTTGTCTCACACCAGGCCACCCCTGATTTTGTGTGAAATTTCACAAATCCACCACTTCCTGGTCCATCTTCTTGGGCATTTTCTAACTCAATTGTTAAACAAGTGGGTGTGAATTCAGTAAAAACCATAATTTTTACAGGCCTTCAAAGGCAAGGACACTCTCCATTCTGTCTATTTTTTTCCAGTTTTACCAAGACATACTTTGCAACCCATGGAATTGACCTGTTGTAAGAGTATAATTGATTTCAGTAAATTTATGCAATTTTAAAGCCATTACTATGTCCATCACCTCCGGTCTTCTCTGTCACGTCATTGTGGTCATTTCTTTTTCCTAGTCCCAACCCATGTCTGCTTTCTGAATCTGTAGTTTTCCTAGATATTTTATAGAAATGAATTACAATATGTAGCTTGTTGTCTCAAATATGTGTTGTTTTTGAAACTCAAATCTGTTACTTCTTCTTTTTTTGTTTGTTTGTTTTTTGTTTTTGTTTTTAAATATTTATTTATTTATTTATACAAGCACTGGGTACAGTCAGAAGCACAGGAGGGTGAGAGAATTCACTAGAGACAGAGCAGGGAACAGAACAGGCAGACCGACGAAACACACAGCTGAGGAGAGCAGCGGGTGCGGCAGGAGAGGTCTGTCGAGCCATGTTGGACTTTCCCCTGTGGCCGGGGATCGAACTGACACTGCAGAGCCTGAGGGCAGCTTCGCAGCCCAGTGCTCAACTGCTGTGCCACCGGGGGAGGCCCAAAACTGTTACTGCTTCTATCAATATTATTCCTTTACATTATGCAAAGAGTACACTTTCTCACTGTATGGATATTCCCATTTGGTTTATCCATTTACCAGTTGACATTTGAGTTGTTCCCAGTATTGGGACTAATGCTGGTATGAATGTGCCCATAGACGTCTTTGCGCTGACATATGTTTTCCTTTCTCTCGGGTATATACAGAGGAGCAGAATGATTGGGTTGTATGGCAGATGTATGCTTAGTTTTTTAAGAAAATGCCAAGCTTGTTTCTAAAGTGGTTTTAACCATTTCATTTCCACCAGGATTGCATGAATGTTCCAGTTTCTGTACATCTTTAATAACACTTGGTATCATCAAACTGCTTGGTTCTAGCCATTTGGGTGGCTATGAAGTGATATCTTACTGTGGTTTTAATTTGCATTTCCCTACTGTCTAATGTTGCTGAACCTCTTTCATGTGTTTATTGCTTTTTGTACATCCTCTTTGGTGAAATATTTATTCAAATCTTGTCTCATTATTGAACTTAAGTTGTGGTGTTTTTTTTTTTAAATAAATTTTGGATATAAGCCATTATCAGTTACATAAATTAAAATCATTTTCTCTCAGTCTCGGACTTATATTTTAATTTTTAAAACAGTGTCTTTTAAAAAGTAAAATATTTTAATTTTGAAGAAGTTCAATGTGTTAGTTATTTTTTTCTTTACAGATCATGCTTTTGATGTCATATCTAAGAAATGATTGTGTAATTCAAGGTCATAAAGATTTTCTCTTTTGTTTTCTTCTTGAAGTAACTTTAGCTCTTACATTTAGTCCTAGGATGCAGTTTGAGTTAATTTTGTATAGTCGCATCTTTCAAACTTTCCACTTGGGCAGATGAGGAAGCCGAGCAAAGGGACTTGGCTGAGGTTCTGAAGCAAACTAGAGGAAGCTAAGACAGGTGAGGGTTTTTTCTGGACAAAGTGTTTGCTCTGATGGAGCTTATTCAAGTCCACAGCTTCCAGCTTGGAGGCTGTGCGACTGTTGTCTCTGACATTGCTCATTACGCAGTCCTTCTGAATGTCTGCGTGGGCGTTTCTGATCTGCTCAAGTTTACCGTGTCTGTTTGACTCAGTAGAAGAACAATTGTTCAACATCGTTGTTTATACACTTGGAGCCAGCTGAGAACATCCCATCCATATTTCTTCTAACTAAATAGCTTTGGCTTCTTTTTCTCCCAGGGGCTGCCTCTGACCTTCCCAGCCCTTGCAGTACGTCCTGACACTAATGTCCTATACATGGCACTTGCCACTTTGTATTGAACATTAGAGCTTTGAAAGCAAGGGCAGGCTGAAAACATGTAGTTGGGTGGATTTCCCAGAGGATGCCAGAGGGAAAACAGCTGCCGACTTCCATTCCAATTTGTCAAGCAAGACAGCTGGAATGGCTCGGCCTTTCAATTTTCTGGAATCTCCTGGGAGAAGGAAGGCCAAGGCAGAGAGACCTGTGTGGAAAGAATGGACTGAGGGAACCCAAGAATCATATCTGTCACTTACTTAAACTCTTACTGAGCTGACAGTGTATTCTCTCATAGTTTTGATTCTACTGCAATATCCGTTCTTTTCAACTGCTTCTGAAAAGACTGAATCAGCAGTGATCTGCCTCTTGATGAAGCACATTCTTATAATTCTATTGAAGTGGTGGATTGACAGTGAGTTGGCAGCAACCTGAATGTCCATCTTTACAAGAATGGAAGAGGGTTTCCTGGTGGGGGGTGGGGGTGCTACAGAATTTTCTACAGCAGATGGATGCATCAAACCAGATATGCATATATGTGAGAGGGTAGGAAGACCTCAAATACATAGAGTTGACAGCAAAAAAGAAAAATGTGTAAGATCTAGAGCATAACCTGAATAATACTAGTCAAAAGTATACACATCCTCTAATCAACAATTCACTTTTTAATGAGTATGCGTTCTTGTACCAGCCCATAGATCAACTGCGTGAGAGTAGATATCTAGTGTGAGGAGGGAAAGTAGAGTGTGTCTGCATTAGTTTTCTGTGACTGCTGTAACAAATTAACACAAACTGGGTAGTTTAGAGTAACATAAATGCATTCTCTCATAGTTTTGGAGGCCAGACGTCCAAAATCAGTATCACTGTCGTGAAATCAAGGTGCTTGGAGGGCCACAGATGCTATAGAGGCTCTAGGGGAGAATCCACTCCTCGGCTCTTCCAGCATCTGTAGTTGCCAGCGTTGCTTTATTTGCGACCACATCACTCCCATCTTTATAGCCAGCAGTTTCAGATGTCTGTCTGCTCCACCTTTATAACCTTCTCTGGGTGTCTGATCCCTCTCTGCCTCCCTCTTATAAGGACACATGTGACTGCATCTGGATCCTACCCAGATCATCCAGGATATAATCTCTGCATCTTAAACTCCCTCATCACATCTGCAAAGACAATTTTTTTTTCATAAAAAGGAGTATTTGCAGATTCCATGAATGTGGTCATCTTATGAGGAGCCATTGTCTTTAACCTACCACAGGTGCCTTTATTTTTTTCCTATTCCATCTCCCATCCAGCCTTTCAGCAAATTGTGTTGGCTTAATTTGCAAAACATACCAAGAACTGACTAGTTTATACCACCTCTGTGGCTACCAGCCCAGCTGAAGCAACCATCACTTCCTGCTGGTCTCTCTCTCGGTGTCCCCCCTCCTTCTCTATAAAGCATGATCTTAGCAGCAACCAGGCTGTTTCTTTTAAGACCTCAGTTCACGTTACTCTTCTGCTTCTCACTTTTTCACCCTGCTTTGTTTTTCTTTATAGCATGTGCTTACCAGTTGTCATATGTTTATTGTTTTCATGTTTATTGTCTATCTCCACAATAAGAATAAACTCTGTAAGAGCACACGCTTTATGTGTTTTATTCCCAACAGAAAAATATAAAACAGTGCCTAAAGTGTTATAGATGCTCTAAACAGTTGTTGAATGAATGAGCAGAGGGGGAAAGAAATAAACATAAAAAGAGAGGGACTTTGCATTAGACCCATAGTGAAGGTTTGGTATAAACGAAGGAGTACAAAGTGCTCAACCACTGTTCCACTGTCTCTAGGAAAACAAATAAATCTACAGGTGACGTAGCAGGGAAGATGTCTTTGCCTTCTACATGGGCCCACTTGGATAACCCAGACTAATTATTTTATTTTTTTAAAAAAAGATTTATTGATTTATTTATTTATTTATTTATACAAGCACTGGGTACAGTCAGAAGCACAGGAGGGTGAGAGAATTCACCAGAGCCAGAGCAGGGAACAGAACAGGCGGACTGACAAAATACGCTGCTGAGGGGAGCAGTGGGTGAGACAAGAGAGGT